CTGTGCAAATTTTGCATATACATGATTGTTCGTCCACACATATTGAACTAAAGTCACGCTCATGGCCAAACTAACATACATGTCATTGATAAAAAAAATACCAATAACTGATACAGGAGATTTTTGAAATGGAAAGAACAGGATAGTGTTACATTCTGCTTTCACATTCCTATAAAGGAGTTATTCTTCATATTGTTGTATGCCGTTGTTTTCGCTGAACTTTAAGAAGACATTTTTATTGTCAACCTCACAGGTTGGAAAACAGATGGTTCTAGGCACACTGGAAGATGTCTTCAAATCTGAAATGCTCTTTTCGCTCTCAAGATTGTCATCCAAGTGGATGATTTTGTTTTCTGACCAGGTAGCACAATGCTATCATCCCTGCAATTGTGTTTCCTATTATGTCATGTTAAGCATATAGTTTTATTTATTGAAAAGATTCAATTTAAGTGACATATGGTCCCAAATTTCTATTGGCAATTGCATTTTTCCTTTTTTCAAACAATATTAATTTTCCTATACGTAGGGCTGGTGAGTCTGAGTGGCTCCTTGAGCCAGCTCTCCAGCCGGTGACCCGGGTTCGATCCCCGGCGTTGGCACCGGGAGGCCCCTCCATTGGCCTTCCTTGTGAATTTTCCCCCCTATACTTCATCCTTTGTCAGTTTACTGGAATACAGCTTCTTCTTTGTGCTTTCTGTAAAGTAAAAGCACTGCTAGATAAGATTTAAATTATGCAACATTGGGTCCATGATATACACAGCTTCATAGTTCTTGGTGGTTACCCAAAAAAACCTGCTTCCCTTCTTTGGCGCTAGCATTCATATTGCACCCTCCATTTTATATGCCTGCAAACTTCTATATTAATTTAAAAAGATATTTATTTATCTGATTCTTCAGATAAGAGACCCTCGGGGCTAGCAATGTTCCACTAATATGACTATTCTCCACTGTTGATTGATTTTGAACTAACTTTATTTCTTTGATCAACTTTCTATTGCAGGTGGATTTACTGTTACTGTTTATGGATCATGATTCCTCTTCTGTTAAGTCTATGGCGTTAAAATGCATGCGTTTTATGTTTCGCAGAAATACCTGCCATTTTCCAGTTATTAGGACTGTTTTCGGCAGATTGTTGCCACTAATTGATGATGAGGATTTTCCACTTGACTGTAAGAGCGATGTGTTAAGGATTCTGCAGAAGGTGATGACTAATTGCCTCTGTGCTTGATTTATACTCCATTTTTTCTCTTATCTGATTGTAAAAATACATTTTCAGATGTTATGCAGTAAAGCGTCAAGTAATCATCATGCCAATGGTTCTGAGTTATCTAAGCTTCTTCTAGCTGCTGAAAGTTCTTTAGATTCTTCTTTGGAGATGCAAGGTACCGCTCTGGAAATTCTTGTGGAAATCTTTTGTATTCTCAAGGAAATGAGGTCAGATAACATATCAGTTCTTAAGGGTTCATCATTTGCTTACGCTGAGTGGCAAGGAGTAATGAACAACATACCATTAACTGAAGAAAATAGTATGAACGGACCTCTGTGTAAGATAATTACAATTATTGTGAATCATATTATATCTCTGGTCAATGAAGTTGCTAGCAGAAATATCTGCATATCATCTGAAGTGGATAAGGCATACAAAACTCCTTTGAGACTTATGCTGAAGCTTGTTTCATGCTACCCTTCTGCTGCTGCTGTAGCTCTTGATATACTGAAAAGCCTTGTAAAAGAACTGTTTCTAATTAATGGAAGTGATTACGCTGAAGTTTCTGTTACTTCTGTTGAACCATTCCAGACAAGTGTTGCCCTTGAAGAATTGAGCACTTCAGATGACAATGTTCAACTGTTATCTAAAAGCATTGAAGCTTCCTGCACTGAAACAGATATTGGCAATGGAAAACTGGATTTTCTCAAATTTGATTGCAAGAATAGAAAGTCCATAATGCATGACCTAATTCGTTGCACGCTCAAATTTGCAAATGCTTGTTATGAGGTGCTCTGTGAAACATCTGGTGCTAGATACAATCCTCATGATAGCATCAAGGGTCTAATCAAGTATGTGCATCAGGATGCCCCTCAGCACTGGAGCACATATGAATACTTCCATTTGATAATGTGTGCTTGTGTTACCCGGAATACTTGTAAAATCAGCGGTGGTAATCAAGAATCTGGTGATTCAAAAGAGCATCCTAATACTCTTTTTTCTCCTTCTGTTTGGATAACTCAGGAATTATGTGCACTTCGAATGACCAAAATGCTTATAAAGAAGCAGAAATACTGGGAAGCTTATAGGTCTTCTATGTACTGTTGTCGTAAAGGTCTCTGGTTCACAGCTTCTTTTGTCTTCAGAAAACTGGCAGCTGCTTTTGAAGCAGGCTCTTTCAGTTTTTGGCTCAAATCGTTGTTACTTCTTTCTGCTGGCGAAATTGAGATGAAACTATTGATTTTTCCCTCAGCGACTATAAAGTTAGTTGGTGAGCTAAAAATGGAGGGTGATTTTAGTGAGGATCTTTACTGTACTGAAACGGATGCTGATAGCACCCTCAGTAGATCATCAGAGTTGCATGGTTTCCGAGCAAAGATATCTGATATTTGTGGCAGAACATTGTTAGCAAATAATGCTCTTGCATCCGGTGCCTCTTCAGATCATGACTTCTTATTCCAGAGGTGGTTCATCAGCCTTAGATCATCATTTCTTGAGGTCCTAACAAATGTTCTTGATATCCTTAGTGCACACTCTTCTTATGAAGCAAGAGGAGACCATTTAACTTTATCTGGAGAGTTTATCAAAGACCAAGTACTTGCTTTGGATCATTGCTCTCTAAGATTAAGCGACTTGGCAAAGAGTTATGATCTTCTTGCCGCATCCCATATGGACCTGGATCGACATAGCTCAAGTAGTATAGCCAGGCTTGCTTTCATGTGCTCACTTTTGGCATTTTGTACTGCATATTCTGTTTATTTCTCAAATGAATGTAACTACGTAGAGTACTGCAAGCTTCCAAAGAGGTTTTCTCATGCTTCAGTCCTACAAGATCTGCATGGAAGAGTAGATGGGTCTGACTGGCAGGTTGTTTCCCAACTGCGACAGTTCATGTCCACTCCTTTTGATGAACTTGACAGCTTACAGTCCAGCACACGGATCAGTTGTTCATGTAATCTGGAGAAGGATTTGTATTCTCTTTGCCATTTTGCTGTGGCATCTTTGCTTGGTGTATGTGGTAACGCTGAAGCTGAAAAAATACAAAATGGAGAGGATTGTTTATCTGCTTTGCAAGGAGGGTTGCAAGTGTTGTCCAGCATCTTGCAGAAGTATTTGGAATTGCCTTTTGCGGTTCCCCGGTACTTTTTCAGAGTAAGGTAAATATGTTGATTCACTATGCTGGATGAATTATATAAGAAATGCCATTTTTATATTAGCATGTGTTTAGCATTGTTTAGGAACAGAAACAAAAGTTACTGTTATTAGTATTAAATTGTTACTTTTGCAGCAGGAGATGCTTTATGTTGCCTATTTATGTGATAATAATGTTCCAAACACTACGCTAATATTTGTGCAAATGGAGTTTCCAAACATGATATGTCATTTTTCTTTTTTTGGCATGTATGCAGGCCTTGCCTTGGTGCCGAACTTTACATGTTTGATTCAAATCCTGTGAATGAAAAAGGAATGTCAATAGAGCCTGGTTTTCTATTGTCTCTAACCCTCTGCATGAAGTGGAAGCGCGTGTTAGAAAGAAGCACCATTCGTGCCGTGAAATTGTACTGCATTTTAGCCACAAGCTTAGAGACCTGCTTGGATGGAGAAGGAACAAGAAGCAAGCAGTTTGATCCGCGCAGGACCGCTGAAATGGTCGAACTGAACTCCAAGCTGCTGCAGTACATAAAGAGTGATCTGAGGAAGGCCAGGAACAAGAAGAAGAATTCCCATTGTGGCATGGACATGGTGACTGCCTTTGCGTGCTTTGAACCAACCGATAGTGGGCAGGGGTTCTCAGGCTGCCTGCTGGATGTCTCCTCGTTCCCTGAGGGCTCATATCAGATAAAGTGGCACGCTTGTTGCGTCGACGAGAATGGGTCCTATTTTAGCCTCCTGCCGTTGAACGATGGCTCCATGTTTTCTGTCCGGAAGTCCTGACCGAATGGCTGCTGCAGTGATGAGAATGGAAGATAGAACATACTCTTCTTGTTCAGTGTCTGTTCATGAGATCATTTGTATGCCCACAGAGGCCTGTGTGGCTGTGATCCACCTATCTGGTCTAGGTTGACATGTTCACTCTATTGCCTGTGTTGTGGCAGTAAATTACAGAGGCCTGGTGTTGAGGCTTGTAGGCAGCATGAACTAATGAATGAATGAGCAGAATTCGCTGCTGATCTTCGGCTTGCTGCTATTCTGAACAGAATCAGCACTAGCAGATAACATAGATTGCTGGATGAACTGACAGCTGACGCAGGTGTAGCTCCGGCTTTTTCTATTCTGAATCTGATTTTCTCAGGGCTAGTTGGGTTGAACTTGTGTAGAAGCAGTACAAGGTTTCAGTTCCCTGTGAGGCCTTGTTTGAATGCGTATATATTTATCTCAATTTACATGGATTGAAGTGAAATTAAACTAACTTCCGTTAATATACATGCATCCAAACAAGGCCTAAGCAGTAACTTTGAGAGTATTGCAAGGCTACAAAACAATGGTTCTGAGCTTCTGACGGATCACGTACTTACGTTGCTTTATGATTTGTGCCTCTGCACATGAGTGGACCGAGTCAGTTCGAATGCGTTTCGTTTCGTTTTGTCTACATATACCGTTGCGTTGCGTCGTGCGGGCACGGGGCGTGCTCTGCAAGGCACCCGTTCAAAACTCCCTCCCCGCGGGCGCGGCGGGGCGAGGCGCTGGTGAAGGAAGGCACCCGCACGCGTCGCCAGGTCGCCGCCGGCGCTGGAGAAGAAGGCTACTGAGCGGTCGACTTCATCAGGGGGTGGACGCATGTGGGCCGGCGGCCATGGCGCTGCTCTGCTTCCTGCTGGACCTGCGCAACATCCCCCCTGCCCTGCTCCACCGCCTCAAGGAGGTGCGGTACCTACCACCGCGCCCGCCTGCTCACGCGCTCCCTCTCCTCCGCGGCTCCTCCGCCGCATTTTCATCTCTCGAGCTGAGCTCCCAGCCCTAACTAACCATGTACGGTTTGCCGCTCGCGTGCAGTGCCTGCTCGACCTCGCCAACCTCTACGCCGCCACTACGTCACAGCCACACGCAGGGACTGCGTCCCCCGCCGCCGCCGGCGCGCTCCCCGACCGCCTGGCCCTCGGCTACGTCTACGCTCCTTCATCCAAACCATCCTCCTCGTGCTCCTCCTCTTGGCCTGAGGTCCGTATCCATCCCTCCCTGCTGCCGATCGGAAATCGGATCCTGTGTGTTTAGTGTTGTGTGCACAGCTGTTTGCGGATTCCAAATTGACTAACATAACCAACTGCCGATGGACATGTAGTGCTCCCTTTGTTTGTTTGGGCCCGAATTGGACACTGATACTGCTTGCCACCTTCTGTTTGCTAGAAATGGGGACCAATTTATCACTTCACTATTACTATACAAATGATTGTGGGTGCTGTCAATTATATAAGATTTGGGATTACTTGAATCACTTCTATGTCACCTTTAGCAGCTACTGAGGCAGATGTTTTTCAGCTGGTTAAAGTAAGATGCATATGCATTTGCTGTCTCTGTGGACAACTTAACCGATGACAATTCACATTGTACATGCATTACTTGCGAACATAGCGATATGTTCGCACAGCTCATCCTGTTTGTAGCGCTTTTTTTTAATGCAGATACTTCCATGCCTTCCTACTATTCTGACAGTCATATTAGTATTTTCTAACATCTGAATTTGGTTCAGCTAAAGATTGGGTATAGGCCTGGAGAAAAATTCAGTCTACGAGATTTCCACCATGCAGTAAATAACATACCTCTGGATGGCTTTCTTGCTGACCAACATGGTGGATCTCTGCCTACTGGAGGTAATGACAGTTATATTGGTCCCATGATCTTCTTGTTTCATTGTTTGATGGGTATAAGATCGAAACAAACTCAGAAGCACATAAATATTGTGAATATGCATGTATTTTAACAGGATAATGATCTTCAGATGCAAACTTGCCTGATCCTGTTTCTTATGCACAGATGTGTCACTAACAAACCTTTTTAGCAACAAAGCCATCTATTCTTGGGCTACTGATGACATCTCCAAGAAAGTGATTGCTATATGTATGTCTGCACAAAATACAGAAGCTCTCCGAAGATCTCTTATGGTATTAGCATAATAATTTGTACTTTTTCTGAAAGGTTAACTCCGTGATATTTATGATAGCATCCTCTGATCACTGTCTTGTATTGTCATCAGGACGCAGCAGAACAGTGTGTTGCGGTGGATTTTATAATGTTGGAAGCAGAAGCTGCATTCATGTATGGTGGTGCTTCCGAAAATGCCAATTCTTTTGTAAACAGAATTTGTGATCTTGAAAACTGTGTCGTACGGAGATACAATCCTGGTAAGGAAGTCTCATGATATTAGTAACCATATACTGGTTTTGTTGTTTATGTTAGAATAATAAGATGATCTTTCCTGATCAACCTACAAATCATAACATGGTCATGCTATTTAGTTTGTTTTCTATATAATTTTATGATCATACTATCATGGAGTTACATTTTGATGAATGACTTGCACAACTATCACTTCCATATTAGGAGTTCCTTATACTCAGGTTAACATTCAACACTTCTTGCATGTAAGGTAACCTAACACTATATATGTTTGCTATATGTTTGGAACTGCAGAGACCCAGGTTCTGCATGGGCTAGTGAAGAGGTGGTTAGAAGAGCTAAAAAATGACAAGGAGGATACACTACAAGCTGTATTTGTGTTCAGAGATCCCATTATTGATTCTGTTAAACACATATATTGCAACCTGTGTGCATCAGCAAACCAGATAACTGATGGTTTTCCACCTTGCCAGGTGATATGAGTCATTTTATAACACCACTCACTATTTAATTCAAAAAGTTCAGTGACAGAACATATCTGAGTCTGACGTTTCCCTTTCACTGCTCAATGTTCATTTTTGTGACTTGCAAGCATTGAGTTTGTTCTATATACCTATTAATTAGTGGAAGAATATGACTGATAAAAGGAACTTCTGCATATATTTTTGGTGATTTTATCATCGTTTTTTTTTCAACTTTTTATTTCCTTCAGATAATGGCAATTACGTATCCATGATTCCTATTCACAGTTCTGTAGCCTCCTCAACAGCTATGCTAACACAGAACACATTGACTCAACAGGCATGCAAGTGCCATGGTCACCCTATTGACCTTGTCACCCCAAATAAGGCAAAATGGACGTGTCCAATAACTAATCGACAGCTTGCAGCTTCTGATGTTACTGATACTGCTGTGAGAATTGGAGAACAAACAGTATTGTTTCTGCCTACTTCGGAAGGTAGTTCGAACTTGCAGCGAGTCTCTACTTCCATTTCTTTTGATGTAATTGAGCGCACTGAATTAGCTTCAATGAATGAAGGTACCCACGACTGCTTTCTGTTCAGATACAAATATTTTGTAAATTAAATGACAACATGTGTTAACAGGAGTCATAATGGGGAGGTCTTATGTTGTGATCCCCAGTTCAAATGATGTTGAAGCTTCTCTAACTGATGAGAGTTCAGATCAGAACATCCAAAGTTAGTATTTCAAGTTTATGTACTATGATGTATCTCTAGCTTCTCAAACGATACTGATATGTCAATATTATCTATGCTGTGCAGTTTTCTATGGTCTATGTGAAACTCTTTTCAAGCTTGACCAGGGACTTGTTTGCTCTTCATCATGCAATATTGAAACGATGCAAATTGGAACTCTTCAGTGTTACTATCTTCTCCAACCATCTGAGAAAGGACCAATGCTTCTGAGGGTAAAGGCAACCCCCCCTGTTCTATTTTGATTTGTGATGTAGTGAAAGGCAAATTTCACCGCCTGTAGTAGGAGTAGTAGCCTAAAACCATATTGGATTGGATTCCTAACTTTGAATAACTATCTTTGTCATAAAGCTTCTACTTTAGATGCTTATAAGTTACCAGAATAGAAAGTATTTTGTGGTCTGTTATCGGCTTGCGTTAATGATTGGAACACATCATGCTGCAGAGACTTGCTGGATCTGAAGAGATGTTACCTCTCCCAGACGTGACTCGAGATTGCAGCTCTAAGATTACCATGGAAATCAAGAATTCAATCGAAACCTCTTTGTCTAAGGTATGTCGCTGGATCACTATTTTTTTTCTGTCGTTGTGACTCGCCATAATCTAATGATTTTCATTCCATGTTCTCTATACGAATAGTAGCTTCCTCGCTTCACGCCTCTATAAACTTGTTCCTCATACTATTAGAAGCTTCCTTACCCCCACATTAACTAATATCTGGCAACTGATTTCTTCAGCTTATCCTCAAGGATTACAACCCTCTGCATCATGAAAGAGGCTTTCATTCAGAACTGAATCGCTTGGTGAAGGACAGCCTGCAATTTGGGTATCTCCTCATCGGTCGCTGGTTATGCAACATTTTTTGTTCCTTCATATACATGGTTTCAGTTATTTGCTTGCTTTCGTTGCTTGCTATCATGATTGATCCTGGAAACGATCGCCAAATAAGATGTCCCATGATTGGATCGACTTCATTTTGCAGATCAATTGCTCCATCCTGTGCCCCGAAGGACCCTCACAACGTTGGTTCCTTCAGCGAACCTCAGGCACCAACATGTCAGGACCTGGAAGAAAGCATGTTCCTGGACCAACCTGAGGACGCGGCTGGAGGTCTCAACGACCTTCTGCTCTCGTTCAGCGAGCCTCAGACATCAACATTCATAACTCGAAGCAAGAACAAGCTATCGATCCAGTCCAAGAAGGGGAAGGCCTCTCCCAGCATCAGTGAGGAGTGGGAGAAGCTCATCATCATCGACGACCTCGACGACGACTTTGCCAGCCCCGCCCATCCCAGGCCTGCTGTTGACAAACCTCCCCGCCCCAAGCCACCGTCTCTAGTGAAGCCACTGGATGAGAAGACTTCAAGGATTCTGGAGAGGCTGGAGCCCCCCAGGGCGAAGAAGCAGAGAGCGAACATCAGCAAGGCCAGCACAGGCGCGGCACTGGCACCTGCCAGTAAACAGATCAAGAAGCCGTTGCTGCCGCGTGAGCCGAGCGCAAGCCAGCCGCTGCGACCTTCCTTCAACAGGCTTAGGAGAAAGCTCCCTACCTGACCTGACCTGACCATGGCGCATGCTCATGCTTAGCTACAGCTAATTGTGAACACGCTTTCGCACCTGGGATCGTGAATACGTAGAGAGAGATGATAAATGCACGTGCAGCCCCTGAATGCCGATACTGGTATATTTTTGCTGTCAAATGTAAATATGATAGAAACCAAACTGCTAGTTGTGTAGATATGAAGTATTACAAGCTACTGATATTACTCTGTCAAATACAGATGAGTTGCTTCTTCAGACTTCAGAGCATAGGCCTAAAGCTTCTTTAGGGCACTACACAAAACCCATGAGATATGTAGAAGATTAGAGGTCAACCTGAGTACAAATGACTACAACTTACCCCATCAGCATTTGGGGAGACTAAACTACTGATTAAGATAATGGTGGCTCTTGGGTCATTATACACTCTTAAAGAATGTGCTACCACCTACGGAGTGCTGACTAAAGCTGGAGTACATAAAAGGTTCTCAATTTCTGGCAGTGGATTTCAGCGCGGAGTCCGGACCTCCAATGGCAACATTGGAGATGTTGCGCTGGTGCTTGTCCCGCTCCTTAGCTGCTGCTCAGACGCTGCAGACTTCAGTTCAAGCTGCTGTAGTTGATGCACAACATGCGACATCCTTGGGCGCACCGAAGGAACATGTTGGGTGCAGGAGTAGACAAGATCGACAACCTTCTGGATAACTCCTGTATCCGGCAATTCCTGGATGTGTGGATCTAGCAGATCAAGATAGCGGTGAGACTGCACTAGAGGAGTTGCCCATTCAAATATGGTCTGCCACCCAACAGACTCAACTGACTGTGCAGGGCGACGACCGCTGATAATTTCTAGGAGAAGCACACCAAAGCTGTAGACGTCGCTCTTTGTTGTCAACTCGTTCCTGTATATAAACTCAGGAGCAAGGTAGCCATAGGATGCGGCCTTGACAGTTCTCTCATGCATTACTTCCCATGGCACAAACTTTGAAAGGCCGACCCCCATCAGATGTGAGCCAAATTCCTCATCAAGTAAGACATTACTTGCACGGATATCGCGGTGCACCACCTGCGGCTTTACCTTGTCGTGCAAGAATCTGCATTAAATGAACAGTAGTAAATAATAAAGATATAGAACACTGATTGCAGTGAGTGGGGAATACTTATATAAGGCCTCAAAGACAAAAATAGATACAGACAGCTCGCATACTAAGTAATTTGAGCTTATTCCAGTTCCGATAGAAGGTAAACAAAACTTATGAATCAGAAGTGTTTAGTGACTGTATAAATTTTCTGTATGACTCAACACTACAGAACACGTGTCATAATAATCATTATTTATAGTTTATAGTAAGTTAAAAACAAGTATGCCAAACGGCCTTCCAATGCATGGTACCATGTAAATGTTTAAAAGCAACCATAAATACACTAATGAATTTAAGCCACAAATGACAAAATAGAAACTAGTATGGTGTTGGTATATGTTTCATGTAATATGGTAAAACAATAATCACAGGAGTGCAGTTAGAGGAGTGTTCCGCGACCCCAGGGCATCATAACAATACAAGGGTTGTGGTTGCACAGGGTCGATGTCGTTTTTTTTTTGCAGGGTCATCAGCTCCAGCTAGAGATGCTAGGAGAAACTAACAACAAGATGCTGCAACTGCTGCTGCAGCGAATCATGAATGGGATTGAGTGTGGCGCTGCTGCCATGGGGACAATGGGAGGTGGAGCTGCAGCCAAGAATTAATGGGGAACTTGTGCTGCCACCTTCAGATGCGATGGGAGATGGTACTGTTGTGAAGGATTGAGGAGGCATGGCAGTCCCCTGTGCTGTGGAAGGAGAGATATGGAGAACAGCAATGGAAAGATGAAATGGAGGAGGTTGTGCGTGCGTGGGAGATTCAGTATAGGGTTAGATGGGAAGGCAAGGCAAGGTTGAGATGGACTGGGTGGTACTGGTACATGAAATGTCAGGCCAACTATCCTTTATATTCATTTTCCTTTTCTTTATTTTTTTTCCTTTAAGGCATGTGATTCATTTATCTGTGGGTTCACAGCATGGATCTTTGCATTTCAATGCTGCTTCCTCCTGGTGTCAGCAGCCCAGAATACCTAGGATCACATACCATGTCCATAAACTATCGCCCTAAGGAGGTATATCCCCTTCGTATGGTACTTTTATTAAGTGCCAACCCATGTTCCGGCGACCCCGTTCCTCCACCCGGTTGATACAGATATCTAGTGACTATGGGTAAAACAAGCCATCCAATACCAGACCAGGTTATGAACTAGAGTGGACCAACACATCCTTTTTCTTTATGCGAGCATTATGCAAAATCTGCATGAACAGTAGCACACAGTAAAATATATTCATAAGTCTATGCATGGGTCAAATGTTAGTGGAAATTATAAAAAGAGTGATAGTGTGGAACAAAAAAATTGGATAACAAAAACAAATCCAGCTAGAATATAAGAAGCCTAACACATTCATCGGCCACTATTTCAATGTCTTGGAGGGAAACAACCTAAGAGAATTCACAGTAAGGACAGTATTTCCTGGGAAGGATGACTTACGCAATCCCCTGAGCAAGAGTTGTGGCAGCTCTCATTCTCATTGCCCAATCAAGGCTCCGCCCTCCCCTGGGAATATGGTGCAGCCACACATCCAAAGGACCATTTGCGACAAACTCATAGACAATAAACCGATCACCATGATCATAACAACATCCTTTTACAGCCACCAAATTAGGATGATACAGCTTTGCAACTCTCCGAATCTCAGAGTAGAAGTCCTTTTTCCTTTGCAGGCTGGATCTCTTAAGTCTCTTGATTGCTACTTTGGATCCATCTGGTAAGATTCCACTATAGGTTCCGCCTGTCTTTGCGTTACCAGGAAGCCTGTTTCCCTCGCTGAAGTTCTTTGTGATTGATCTAAGTTCTTCACTAGTGAAAACTTTCCATTGTGGTGCCACCAATGCGGCAGCTGAAGCACTTAACACTTCTCGCGATCTTCTTCTTTTCTTGCTTCGCCTGTAGACAAGCAGCCAAACCACAACGGCTAGAGTGGTTGCCAGAATGAAACCACTCACAGCAATAATGGCGATGAAATACTCCTTGTGGCAGTGATCATGGTAGCATCTGTCCACTGATGACAAAAAATAGACTGTGATTCATCCGAATGCCATGAAAAGAAAACTACCATTTTAGCGAAATGGGTAAGTCTTAATAAATTACAGACTAACCGTGATTCATCATGCAGATCAGACCATGGGACTCGCTGCACCTTTTTTCAGTAATAATAATTGAAGCCCGACCACTGGTCACCAAAGTACACAAATCATTGCTGGTGGCTACTTCGCATGCAGGATAACTGCAGTTGGCACGCAATGGCTCACCAAGAAAGACAGTCTCGTTCCAAACAGAGGAATCATCAGACCATTTCCAACCATTACCAGTATTGGTGTTGTAGTGATGCCCTCCAACCCAGCATCCTGAGGACGATGATCCACAGAGAGACTTCACAAAGTTTAGCTCCTGGACTGATGATAATGCAGCCAGATGCCCGCTGTAGTTATGGCAGAGAGCCTTGGATCTATCCCAAGAAAGGGAGGTTGATATGTACATGAAGCATTTGTTCTGAACAGGGCCCGCTTGCCAACCATCAGGGCAAGATGCTGCACAAAATTGAAGTTGCTGATGTCAAAACTCAGAAATTTACTGATAGGAGCAAGTGAACTAGAAACTAAAGACAGCCACATGATGATGCACACGAGCCACATAACGAATTGGGAAGTAGAAAGTTGTCTTTTAACAAACATAAACAATATCTTAGGTGTGGACGGAAAATTGCAAAGTCACGGCCAGACCAAAATGTAAAGATGAGCGCTAAAGAGGAAAGTGGAGTAAGAAATGGTTGCTGTCTATTTTTTCCTCTTGTAGTCTCTTTGTGGTGAGGCAAAATCCCCATCCGAAACTAGAAGACAGATTGCATCTCCATATTTCTCGAGAATTAGCAGGTTACAGCGCAGTACATACACGATGGCAAACAAAATACTCCTAATACATCCGGGCCGATGACGCAAGCAACGAAAGAAACCAGCAATCGCGGCTCGTTTTAGAACCGGTACCTAAAACAAGAAACGGTGGATCTAGCTGCCTTCGAAGGCAGAGAGGGAGAAGGGAGGGGGCGGAGCGGTAAGGAGAGGGCGACTCACGGCTCCGAGCCAGCACAGGAGCGGCGACGGAGAGCAGGGAGGCAGCCAGGAACATGGGGAAGGCGAGTGCGGGGACCGCCATGGCCCTCCCACGCCGTCGCCGCCGCAGCGGAGGCCGCTCGCTAACCCCGCTGCCTCCACTGGAGAGGGGAGAAAGCTGTGGTCAGTCGCCGCATTGAGAGGGGAAGAAGTAGGGAAAAAAAATCCTGACGATGACTGAAGAGCGAAGACTGCGCGCGTCATAAATGAGATCGCACCAAACCAAAGGCAGAGGTGGGCCAGCCACTAGCACTCAGCCCGCCTTGACTACCGGGCAGCGCATTAACCCCTGCTGTCAGCCTGTCCTCGCTGTCTGCCGCTGGGGCCCGACAGCAGCAGCAACCCGGAGGAGCCCACGCCCGCCAAATGGGCTGGGCCGACCTTTGTTTCTCTGGCAGTCCAGCCCATGTTCCTTTCTTTGTTTTTTGTGCGAGAAAAAAAAAAGTACACGTTAACGGTGGTTATAGTAGCGTGGTCGTCGGATCATCCCACGTGGCACACATCTAACCGTTAGCCACGACTCCTGGCGCTCGTGGCCGCTTTCTCTTCTTTCGCCTTTGCCCGAAAATAGCAACCTCCTTAAAAAAAAAACACCAACCTTGTTCACCTCAAAAAAAGAAAAAGAAAAAGAAAAAAAGAAACCAACAACAACAACCAGAATATCGCCGTCGCGTCGTCGTCGATCTCCCCGCCCCGCCCGCGCCGCGGAATCTGAACTCTTTCTCTCTCTCCGAGGACCGGGCGCCCTTACATCCACGCCGC